TACATTAGTTTTTGATGTGAGGTTATTAGATCTTTCTCTATAAGGAATAGACAAAGTATGAAAAATTAACTTAAATTTTAAATAATTGGGATAATGCAGTATTCTGCTTGAGTATCACGATGGAAGTTGAGCTGAACTTCTAATGAAATCTCCCCATTAAGATGAATAAGAGAAGAATTTCTGCCTATGTGGGAGCTTGTTTAGTTGATGGTTTATAAAATAAGAATAAAAGTAGAAATCAAAACATACTGCTTTATAATATATTTTTCTTTCTTTCTTTTTTTTTCAAGGTTCAGGGATCCTGGCTGCTACAAATAGTACTGAATTGGGAATTATAGAACCATCTTCTCCAAATCCTAGCCCTGTGAAAAAAGGCAGTTCAATTAATTGGTCTTTGCCAGATAAAATAAAATCTCCACGAACTGTGAGGAAACTTTCCATGAAAATGAAAAAGTTGCCAGAATTTAGCCGAAAGCTAAGTGTTAAGGGAACATTGAATTATATAAACAGTCCAGATAACACTCCTTCTTTGTCTAAATATAACTGCCGAGAAATTCATCATACTGATGTTCTGCCCTCTGGGAACACAACCACAGCTGCTAAGAGAAATGTTATAAGCCGATACCATCTTGATACCAGTGTATCCTCCCAGCACAACTACCAGAAGAAAAACTCTATGAGTTCTAAGTATTCCTGCAAAGGTGGTTACCTTAGTGATGGAGACTCACCTGAACTTATAACTAAAGCTAGCAAACATGGATCTGAAAACAAATTTGGAAGAGGAAAAGAAATAATTTCAAATAGTTGTAGCAAGAATGAAATAGACATTGATGCTTTTAGGCATTATAGCTTTTCTGATCAACCTAAGTGTTCACAGTACATATCTGGGCTCATGAGTGTACATTTCTATGGTGCTGAGGATTTAAAACCACCTCGGATAGATTCAAAAGATGTCTTTTGTGCAATTCAGGTAGATTCAGTAAACAAAGCAAGAACAGCTTTGCTCACATGTCGAACAACATTTTTAGACATGGATCACACTTTCAACATAGAAATTGAAAATGCACAACATTTGAAACTAGTAGTATTCAGCTGGGAACCCACTCCAAGAAAAAATCGAGTTTGTTGTCATGGAACTGTTGTTCTTCCCGCCTTATTTAGAGTGACAAAGACTCATCAATTGGCTGTCAAACTTGAACCTAGAGGTCTTATTTATGTGAAAGTGACTCTTATGGAACAGTGGGAGAATTCTCTTCATGGACTAGACATAAACCAAGAACCAATAATATTTGGAGTTGATATTCAAAAAGTTGTAGAGAAAGAAAATATAGGACTGATGGTGCCCCTTCTGATACAGAAATGTATTATGGAAATTGAAAAGAGAGGCTGTCAGGTATTATCTTACTATGGTTCTCTACTACTTCCTTTATTGATTGATTAATTGTAAGTCTTGGGGGAAGGAATTCAAAGTAATGTAAAAAAATCAAATTTAGATATTTAACAATTCCTATTCTTTATTCCATTACTGTTTAGGGTATAATTTTTAAGTTGACTCATGTTGTCCATTATTGAGAGCATGCTAGATGAGTCCACAAATTTATATTGCAACACAGAGCCTCATGGGTCTTATAATTAGAAATCAGGATTGCTTCAAAATGGCATTAAAAGGAAAAGTCAGAGCTGATAAACATAGGCAAAGGATATTAATATCAGGTATAAGTAATTGTTTATACTAATTTTTGTGATACATATTAAGACTAAAAATCATTACATTATTTCTGCTTTAGTACTATCCAAATTTATAATATTGGTTAAAAAGGTAAGTTAAAAGACAATGAGTAAATATTATAAAATCTGAAATATTTAATAAAATTAAGCTTAACATGGAAACTCAAGAAACAGCATAAGTTAATGGAATTTTGCATTAAGATGCAGAACACCTGGATTCTGGTTTCTTCTCCATTATTACTTAGCTGTGTCATGTTGGGCAAGTCACTTAATCTCTGTGAGTCTTACTTGCTTGTATCTATAAAAATAGATGGAGTGGTCGGGCATGGTGGCTAACGCCTGTAATCCCAGCACTTTGGGAGGCTGAGGTGGATGGATCACCTGAGGTCAGGAGTTCAAGACCAGCCTGGCCAACATGGTGAAAACTGTCTCTACTAAAAATACAGAAATTAGTTTGGTATGGTGGCACATGCCTGTAATCCCAGCTACTTGGGAGGCTGATGCAGGAGAATCGTTTGAACCACTTTAAGTGCCAAGAAAACATTTTTAGCAGTACTTTTCATTTTTATTTAGAACTGTACTTTTTTTTTTTTGAGATGGAGTCTTGCTCTGTCGCCCACACTGGAGTGCAGTGGTGCAATCTCAGCTTACTGCGACCTCCACCTCCCGGGTTCAAGCAGTTCTGCCTAAGCCTCCCAGTTAGCTGGGATTACAGGTGCACGCCATCATGCCTGGCTAATTTTTGTATTTTTTTTTAGTAGAGACGGGGTTTCACCATGTTAGCCAGGCTGGTCTGAAACTCCTGACCTTGTGATCTGCCTGCCTCGGCTTCCCAAAGTGCTGGGATTACAGGTGGGAGCCATGGCTCCCGGCCTAGAACTGTACTTTTTAAAGACGTTTTTGTTTTGTCTCACCTGCTTCTTTCTCCTCCACTTGCCCTCCCCTGTCCCCTGCCCCCAGTAGAGAGAGGCTTATTGTGCATGTATAAAGACTGGCATACTGCTTAAATTTTGCTTACCCTTTTAGTCAGGAATTATTCTTCTTTTGTTGGGTTTTTATTGTAAACATGAAAATAGGCTTTGATAGTCATATGCAAAGAGTTTGTGGCATGGGTCTTTGCATCTTCCAAATGCTTTGAATGCTACTCCCACCCATCTCCTGCTTAAAATGGGAAAAATTGCTATGGAGATCATACTCATGGTCTGCCTTTCATAGAGGCATCGAGCATGTACTTCAAGGATTTGATTCAGGATCTCAGCATCTGAAAGTAGGGATATATCCTAAAATATCTTTTCCTTGAAGTACCTGTATTAGATCTTCCTTTCTTTGTTCATCTTTTAAAAAATTATATTTGTGATTTCAACTTTTGGGGGTAAAATATCCCATTAATTTATTGTGTACTAGTTAAGTAGTACTTCCTTTAAGTTGTTGTAGGCTCATCTTCTTCTCAAGTTTAAGGGATACATCGTTTTTATGGTACTTTATGACACTTACATGTGCTCACACCAGCAGGGCTATGATCAAGTTCGTTTTTTCTATTGTGGTAGCATTTCCTTTGATCCTGTTTAGTATTTTAGTTTCATTTTCTGGACTGTCTGCATTTCTACTGTGTCTTTCTTGAGATGATGTGACCAGTGTAACTCATGCTATTCTCAATGTGGATGCATCATGAATGTGGGTAAGAGAAGGAAATTTGAGGTTTTTTCCTAGTGTATTTCTTGGTTTCCCATATTATCTTGATCTTTTCAAATGTAGCAGCACCTTGCATTATCATGTCTTGGAAATAGTTTTAGGTTCTTTACTATCTTTCAATTAATACATATAGCTTGTCATCTCAAATATTTTAGATAATATTTCCCTGTATCTGTTTTGACACTTTCTCATATTGAGACCCACCTTATAATGTATTCTATCAGTTTTTTAATGAGTCAGAAGAGATTAGTGTCATAAGTAAACCTGGAAATTTCATTTGTATACTTCTTCCTCTAGATCATTTATTGCATTTTACAGTGATTCCTAGTTCAAATCCTGGAAGATTACTTTTACTTTCTCTCTTTAAATAGTTTCTTTCTCCATAATACTTCCTTCAATTCAAAGTGACTGAACTTTCTAAATAATCTTAGATGTGGAAGTATGGCTGACAACCACTTATTCTCCTTAAGTTTTTTTGAAGGTTTATCCTTTCAAAGACCTTTGATAGCTTAATTGGGCGTGTTTTGTCTTCACAGAGATCATGTTTATTTCTTCTTGGTGAATTTATAGTGAATAACTTAAGACTCAATATTTAGAACCTGTATAACAGTGTTTAAAGACAAATCTTTTCAATGTAGGTTGGTGGGATGGGTAGTGTCTGTCCATCTTATATAAATTTTGAAGTAGAGGTTTTATTTTACCTTTAATATATTATTTTAAATTTCCTCCATCACTTTATAATCAATTAATTTGACAACAACAAAAAACCCTAGGTTTGCTTCTGTGTCTTCCTGAGAATCTTTTTTCTTAAAAAGCTTTATATACTAGAACCTTATTTCAACTATATTGTTATCTTAAGGATAAAAGAAACTGTGTTTTAAAGAGATTAAATAACTTGCCCAAATTCATGAAGCAAGGAGTGGGGCATTATGACTCTAAAATCCTTGTTCACTGTCTGCGCTGTACTACTTCAGTCTGGAACAAAAGTTGTGAAAGGGCGCACATTCCTGGGGCATGGAGATCTTGATTGAGCATATAAAACTGAAAAGAAGGGATTGTGTTTTGCTTAAGATAGGTAGCCAGCATTACCGAACTGACAGTGTATTGTTTGAATTTAAATGAAAGAATAGGATATTTTTATTAAACTAATCAACATAGTATATAATGAGATTTCAAAAGCTATATTTGAGGTATTTTAAATTAAATTACATCGGAACATATTTGATTGCAAAGTTCATGTGATCTATAATGTAATTATATTTTCCCTTTATCAAATTTACCATAATGTGGCCATAATTTTATTCCTAGGTAGTAGGCCTGTATCGATTATGTGGTTCGGCAGCAGTCAAGAAAGAACTGCGAGAGGCTTTTGAGAGAGATAGCAAAGCTGTTGGTCTGTGTGAAAACCTGTACCCAGATATAAATGTAATAACAGGTAATACATAGATTTTATTTTATGTACTCTTTCTGGAAAGATTACATCTGCAAGAAAGATAACTGAAATACGTTTGTAGCTGAAATTTAATTTGTTTTTCTGAAGTCTTTTCTTCCTTCACAAACATTACTTACTGTGTTATTTTCTATGGGAAGGTATTAAGCTATGGTCCCTTGCCCGCCAAGAGCTGACATGATGAAGGGAAGTAAGACCTACTTTCAATTAGCTATAGTAGCTAGCAGAAAGAAAAAGGTACCTTCATAGAGGGATAAATAAAATACCTTGGGAGTTGAGTTTGACTGGTACTTAGGTAATATAGAGGGTATTGACTCTCTGGTTAGAGAATTTAAATTTATTTACTAGCCAGAGGGGATCCATTAGAATTTTTTGAGTAGGGGAGTGATATCATTAGAAATTGTTTTCAGGAATATTAATCTGGCAACTCTATGTGATGAATTGAAATTAGAAGAGACCAGAGGAAGGAAAACCAATTAGAAAGCCTTGGCAATAGTCCAAGCAAAGAGGTAGTAAGAGCTAAAGGGGCTTGTAGCAGTAGAAATAGGAAGAAGTAGAATTGAAAGGAGGTGGAGAAAGAGGGAGCCCAGATAGACGTGACTTTGAGACCTGGTTGATTGGGTACCATTAGCAGAAATAAGATAGCTTCAGGGAGAGCTACTGCTTTTTGTTGGGAAGTGTTGAGAAAGATTATGAATTGGGCTTTGGATATATAGAATTTGAAGTGCTAGTAGGAGATCTAAATGGGTAGATCAAGCAAAGTTGAAACTGCTCATCTGCAGCTAAGAAGAGGATGCAGTAGAATTTGAGGGATCTCTTACTTACCCAAGTGGTGATTATAATTCAGTGTATGGCAATGGAAATATACTTCTATTACCCCTGAAAAATGAGAGTGGAAAGAGAGTCATTGCATATATGTGTAGTTAAAGCGTTGCAATTGTCCATAAAGTTTGAAAAGACAAGAAGTTTGGAGGTCTCCCAACTTTGGAGGCAGGCAAAGAAAGAAGAAACACCTAAAGAGATTGAGAGGAAAGGAGTCAGAAAGTTTGGGAAATAAGAGACAACAGAAATTAAGCAAAAGTGTGATACAGTCATTCTATGGAGAGGTTATATGACAAAAGAAAAGGGCCTTTGAATTTGGCCATTAAGAAATGGCTCATAACCTTACTGGTAACCTTCAGGAGCTACTGGTTTATAATAATTCCATGTTTGTTTTTGTTGTTTTACTTTTTTAATTATTGAAGTTTTCAAGTATGCGAAAGTATAGAGAATACTATGAAAAATCCTGTTTATCACCTGGTTTCCATAATATCAACACATGAACAGACTTGTCTCATTCATCCTCCCATTTGCTTTTTCTCAGCCCTTGATTATTTTGAGAAAATCTCAGACATATCCTTTAATTTATAGATGCTTCAGTGTGTATCTCCAGATCTTCTGTGTATTTTGATAGTTCTTTCTCCTCTCTACTGACAACCACCATTTTTTTCTTGCTGTAATGGATTTACTTTTCTCTTATAACTTGCTTTCTTATTTTTACTCACAACTAACTGTTTGGGTGAAAATTTGAGGAAAGTTCATCTTGTACATATTTAAGAGAATTTTGTTGGTGAAAATCCTTACTTTTAGGATTGAGACTTTCTGAATAATTGAGGTTCCTACCCTTTGAGTGCTGAATGACTGTATTTTCTTCAAGTATTTAATATGTAACTCTTAGATAATCAAAACTTTGATTCCAAGCATTTTAATGCTAAGATAAAACAAACTGTCACTTTTTTCTTATATATTTTAGCAAATCAGAAATAATGGTTCCTTTTAATTTTTATATAGGAAGAGGCATATTTCTACAAAAAATTGAGATGCCTGAAAAAAAATGAAATGTTCTTTCCTTGTTAATGTGTAATTAACAAAATCAGCCAAAGACTCATTTTATGAATCCATGAAAGAGAAAGTTTTATAAATACAAATTTCCAGCAAGTACAGTCTATAAATAGATTTTGTCTTGGTGAAACTTTGTCTTATAAATAAAAATTATGTTAAACATGTATAATTTTATAAGATGAAATGAAGGAAGAGTTCCTAGTTTTGGAAATTGGCAGCATATGCAGAAGATATGAACAATAGGTCAATGAATATTGGATTTACAGCATTCTTTCCTAAAATTGAGTTTCTGTAATTTATAAATTGGATATTTCTTGGCTCTATTCTTTGTACTATTCCATTTGTGTAAAGCTGTTTTTCAGAAGAATTTAGAGCTTTTTTTTTCTTGATAAAAAGGCAATGAAATGATTTAAGATTTGTCTGCAAAATAATTGCATGATACAAGGTTTTCGTGGCTAAAAATAAAGGGTATTGTTGATTTGAGGAGTTGGCCAGTGACAGTGTTGCTTCATGTGTTTGTTCCTCATGAACTCACATTTCTGAGTAAACTTTGAAAAATAGTTAGTAGTTCGGTAGGTCTAAAAAATGAGAAATTAATGAAGTGAGTGACAGATTTTGTTCACAGTTTAATGTGTTTTTAGTAGTTGGTTTATCTGGAGCATGGAATGAAATACTCCAGACAAACCAGTTTTTTAAAAATCAAGTACAAAATTTTAGGTATAAAGTCCATTCATAATTCTTTTTTGTTTGCTTTTTGAGAGAGTCTCACGCTGTAGCCCAAGCTGGAATGCAGTGGTGCAACCTCCGCCTCTGGGGCTCAAGCAATTCTTGTGCCTCAGCCTCCCTAATAGCTGGGACTACAGGCACACGCCACTACACCCCGTTTTTTGTATTTTGGTAGAAACAGGGTTTCACCCTGTTGCCCAGGGTGGTCTTGAACTCCTGAACTCAGGAGATCCTCCCATCTCAGCCTCCCAAAGTGCTGGGATTACAGGCATAAGCCACTGCTCCCGGCCTATTCCTAATTCTTTAGAGGACTTATTAACAAGGGACAGAAGACTTTTTAAAAGTCAAATATTTATCATTTAGTGATTATTAAAAATAAGTCTTCTGAGGAAGATTACATGTGTCTAGCTACTGTGAAATATACTTCTTGTCAGTGCTACACAATCAGTATCTAGGTTCAGTGCCTGAAAGTTCATTTGACCATGCCTTTTTCTGATTTTAATCCTACCATAGTCATTTTTATCCTATTTGCCGTTTAGGGAAAACTTTATCAGAATATAACTAAATGATCTTGAAAACATTAATATTTTTCTTTTTTGTACATACTATACATTTTCCTACCATACGTGTTATATGTTGTCTGACCTTTGGAACATTAACTTACAAATTGTTTCCATTTTCCTTTACCTAGATTGCATATAGATGTCAAAACTGTGCAAGCACCAAGGAATGCTAAATGTTGAGGAATGGTCATAGACTTAGCAACCCACATATACTGAGATTGTTTATGAGAGCCATTTGGTCTGAGTAACATGTATAGGGTATGACTAAAGTAGGTGATAAGGCCAGAAAGAGTAAGTGAGGTAAGGTGCCGGGTAGGTTAGTGGATTTAAAAAAGTAATTTGTAGCTCTACCTTCAGGAAATGTCAGTGATTCAACATTCAAATCTACCTAATCAACTGTATCTTTACTATCTGTATAAGTTTTATATGTGAGAGAATGATTCTCATGTTTGTATACGTGCATATTCGGTCTTCTGGTTCATAGGTCCTAAATGCTTTTGTATTTATTTAGGCTTATTCTGAAGCCCAGAATATGGTTTTTGGTGGTAAATGTTCCATTTGAGCTCTTGAAAAGAATGTGTATTCTGGTGTTTTTGGACGGACTGTGCTGTAACTATCAATAAAGTCAAGTTAATTAATAATGTCCCAGTCTTCTACATCTTTGTTTTCTTTCTACTCGCTGAGGGGAGTATTGAAATCTTCAACTATAATTGTGGTTTTTCTCTATTTTTTCTTCAAACTGTTTTTGTTTCCACCCCACCTACCCAATGCCACTACTTTGCCTTTGAAGATTACAATTAAGCATGTATTAGGCCACTTTACGTTATGTTACAGCTTACTGATAGTGTATTTTTTTTTCCAGCTTTTCCCCCACTTTGTTTCATTTTACATTGTTTCTATTGCTCTATCTTCAAGTTATATTAGCCTTGTCTTCTGATATTAATTTCATTCATTGCATTTTTAGTTCCAGACAACCTAGTTTTCACTACTATAAGTTTGATATGGGTTTGTTTTTTCAGTATTTTCCATGTCTCTACTTAATATGTTCAGTCTTTATTCTAGCTTCTTGAACATATGAAATACAGTTATAATAAGTGTTTTCGTGTCCTTTTCTACTGATTCTATTGTGTATGTCTTTTCTGAGTTGGTTTAAATTGATTTGACTCCTCATAGGTTATATTTGCCTCCTCCTTTATATGCCTCGTAATTTTTTACTGGACATCAAATGTAAATTTTACCTTCCTGGGTGCTGGATATTTCTGCATTTCTGTATTTATAGCTGTGGTTTGGTATGCAAGTACGTTACTTGCAGAGTTTTTAGTCTTTTAAGCTTTATTAGGCAGAATGTCAACTGCTTTTAAATAAGGCTCTTCTTTGTCTATCTCTTTGATTCTCTACTGAAGCAAAACTCTTCTATATACTGTGTACTTATATTAGTTTTCTATGGCTACCATAACAAAGTACCACCAACTTGGTGGCCAAAACAACAGAAATGTCTTTTCTCACAGTTCTAGAGGCTGGAAGTTCAGAATCAAAGCATTAGCAGGGCCCTGCTCCCCTTGATACCTGCAGGGGAATCCTTCCTTGCATCTTCCTAGTTCTGGTGGTTTGCTGGCAACCTTTGACAGCCCTTTCTTTGCCTGTAGATGCATGACTCCAATACTCCATCTTCACATGGCATTTTCCCTATGTTTCTTCATATCATCTGCTCTCTCTGTGTGTCTTTTTCTGTGTCCCTCATTTTATAAGGACATGTCATATTGGAGTAAGGCCCACCCTAATGACCTCGTTTAACTTGATTACCTCTGCAAAGACTCTTTCCAAATAAGGTCATATTCTGAGGCACTAGGAGTTCAGACTCCAACATGTTTTTTTTTGGTCAGGGGTGGGGGCCACAATTCAACATAGTGCTGTACCCAAATCCCATGAATTACGAAGTTTTCTGCTCTGGCTGCTTGGAACAAGAGTGATTGCCTGCACCATGAAAACGCCTAGAATTGTTCTTTCTAATCTGTTTGGCTGGTTCTTTCTCCAGCCTTGGGGAATTGCCCCACCTGCGTGTGCTGATTAGTACTCAGATGAACACGTGGGATTTCCAGAGTCGTCTCTAGGCAGCCCTCTACTCTCAAGTGCTCTGTCCTGCAAGGTCTAGCAGCTTTAGCCTCCTTGAATTTCTAACTCCCCTTCAACTGTCGAGCTTTACCTGGGTTTTCATTTCCTTACTGCGACCTGGAAAGTCTCTCCAGGTAGTAAGCTGTGGTTGTTGTGGGCACACTTCATTTGGTTCCCATCTCTCAGGGATCTTTGTTCTTTGCTTGATGTCCAATGTCTTGGACATAGTTTTGTCATATATTTTGTCTGGCATTTTCAGTTGTTGCAAGCAGGAAGGTAAATCTAGTCCCTATTGCTCCATCTTGCGTAGAAACACTGGTCTGCGTTTCTACTCTGTATGTGGGTTACTGATTGCAACGAGAAAAAAAAAAATCAATATTGTTTGGTACCAGTATTAATCCATGTACTTCAAAGTCATTAGAAGGCTCTGAATGGTGCCTAATAATAATTGTATGTTTTCTTATCAGCTCTCTGTCTCATTCTCTGGAGTGTCTATTTAATATCTTCTCACTCCCCTCAAACCTCATTTCACCCATATCACTTTTAGCAGACGACCCTGCCTCCTAACTTCACAGAAAAACAGAAGCCATCAGATGGGAACTTGCTCTACTTCTTGTGACCTAGCCTATCAATGTGCCTTCTTTGGCATACATTCTTTCCACTTCTTTTCTGTAATAATAGAGCAATGACCTTCCTTACATCTTGGACAAATTCTAATTCCTTTATGTGTTCTCAGAAGTTTCTTCTTTCTTCTTAGGGACTTTGCTCAATCGATTATATTTCCTCTCTCCTGAACCTTGAAAACCTTTTTACTATCTCCTTTACATTAGCATTGAAATGTTTAAGTGTCTCCTGTCTTTAAAGAAAAATCTCCACTTTGATCTTGTTTCTCCCCTGCCCTCCCCTCTCCTCTATGGTTATCATCTTTTCTCAAAGCCAGATTTCTTGAACAGGTTGTGTGTATTTCTTTGTCTATTTCTTTAATGCCATTTACTTCCTAACCAGCTGCAACCTGACTTCAGGTCCTTTATTTTCCTGAAACTGTGCTTGCCAAGGTTGCTGACTTCCTTTTCTGGTGAACATTTTTGGGTTCTTAAATTGTCTCTGGATCATTATTTTCTATGCCTGGTTACAAAACCCCATTGCCTAAACATGAGAGGAATTTGTTAAAAATACAGGGACGGGAGCTCTGACCTCTGTGGATTATGATTTAGTAGGGCTGGCATGGGGCTCCAGAATCTGATTTTTTTAAAAAGCCTCAGTGTGCAGCCAATTTTGAAAAACACTGTTCTCTGCAATATTTAACACTATTCTTATCTAACCTAACTGTACTTTGGGTATCATTAGATATCATAGACTCTTTCTTGAAACATTTTTCCTCGACTTCCTTGGCATCACTTTTGCCACTCTCCTCTCGCCCCATCCCCACCTCCTCTCACCATACATACATCTTTTGCCATTCTTCCTTAGTCACCATTGGAAGATCCTCTTTCCTGATGACCCCTGGAAAGTTAATGTTCTTCAGGTTATTTTCTAAACCTTCTCTTAATCACTCTGTATGCCTCCCTGATAATCATTCCCCAAATCCAATTATCTTTAAGTTGATCATTCTTAAATCTGTGTCTAAAGTCATCTCTTTCATCTCTGATTTTTATATCCAGCAGCCTTGAATGTCCCATAGACAGCTTAAGTTCCATATGTTCAAAATGAAACTCTTCTCTTTACCCCCTAAAACATGATTTTCCTCCTGTGTTCTCTATTTGAAGTAATGTCGCTAGTATCCACCTAGATGCTCAAGTTCCAAGCCTAGAAAAGAAACACTCTTATTCCTCCTTTTTCTTCAGAATTGCAAATGCATTTTTTGCTTAGCAGTCCTGTTTTAATAATGTATCCTACAGACATACCTGCATATATACAGAGCGACTATGTGCAAGGTTATTAATTGTAGCATGTTTTGGAAAAACAAAGGATAAGAAACAATTCTAGTGTCCATCTGTAAGAGACTGAATAGATAAGACTATGGGACATCCTTACATTGAACTACTGTAATGTGGCTATAAAAATGATTAAGGAAGCTCTCTATGGCCTGAAAAAATCTCAAGGATATGATGTTAAATGAAAAAGCAAGAAACAAAATAGCATATACAGGTTTCTTATTTCTGATTTCTTTGGGTTTTGGAATATTTGCATTATACTTACCAGTTTAGCATCCCTAATCCAAAAATCAAAAATCCAGAATGCTCTAATGAGCATTCCTTTGAGCATCATGTTGGCATTTTAAAAGTTTTGGATTTGAGGGCATTTTGGATTTTTAAACTAAGGATACTCAACCCTCAATGAGGGAGACAAATCATATGTATATTTGCATAAACATTAGAAGGATGCATAAGAAACTAATGAATCATGTTACTATTAAATATTTAAAACTTAGGGCCAGGCACAGTGGCTCATGCCAAGTACTCTGGGAGAATAAGGTGGGAAGATCACTTGAGGCCAGCAATTCAAGACTAACCTGGGAAGTATAGTGAGACCCTGATCTACAAAAAATAAGAAAATTAGCCAGGTGTGGTGGCAACTACCAGTAGTCCTAGCTACTTAAGAGGCTGAGGTGGGAGGATTGCTTGAGCCTAGGAGTTTGAGGTTACCAGTGTACTCCAGCCTGGGTGATTGAGTGAGACCCTGTAACAATTAAAGAAAAAAAAAAAATCAGATGCGAAGCTTCCTATAGAATCATGTTTAAGTTCAAACTAAGCTAGGCTGAGAGCATGTTCTGAATCAATGTTGTATATATTTAGGTTTTTGGTGTTAGGAAGATCTCCTGTTTTCCCTTGTGATCACATGCCAGCCTTTAGTTAGTATCTTACGTACCTTGCTTATATATAACAACCACTATTCTTTCCAGTTTCCTCTACTGTAAGTAATATCTCTTAGTTCGAAACTACATGTGGAATGTTTGCAATTGACTTTCCTCATTTCCATTATACTGACAAGTCTGATGTTTTCTGTTCTTAGCTTTTGGTTTTATTTGTTTGGTTTTAGGAATGATTTTTTCTTCCATATGATAGTGTAGCATTAGAGATTATCCGGCTATCCAGTATATCTGTTTAAGACACTCCTCCACTGTTAAAGAGGAAATGTATTTATTTTCAAGGGTTTTGGACAATTGGTACTCTTTTATTATCAATTTAAAGTCTAGAAACTCAAAATTTGCATAATTGGAATAATTTGTAATTAACATAAATATGCCTTGCTTTCTTAATTTCTGTTTCACATGCATTTAGAGAAGCTTTTTATAGGGGGCAGAATCAATAAGGGTATATGTATCAAGAATAGCTTACTTTATGATTAACAAACCTAACATGTATGGTAACTGAAAATTATGTGTGTACATTTTTAGCATTCTTTCAAAACAAGTCAATTACCAAGGCAACTTAAAAGAATATAAAATGCTAGTATTTTATTATAATTCTTTTTATGTTATTGCTTTTATTGTTTTCAAAATATTGAAAGTTGGTTATAATACTTAAATTTAAAAAATTGACCATAGTTCTTTATTTCACTCTACAGTCCAATCACCAACTGTCTGCGGTTTGTTTGTTTTCTAAAGGTGTTCTTAAGGATTATTTAAGAGAACTCCCTTCTCCTCTGATAACAAAGCAACTTTATGAGGCTGTATTAGGTGCAATGGCAAAAAGTCCTTTGAAAATGTCATCAAATGGTTGTGAGAATGACCCAAGTGACTCTAAGTACACTGTTGACCTGCTGGATTGTCTGCCTGAGATTGAGAAGGTAAGCATTATAGGTATACATTTTTCCTGAAAGCCAGTTAATGAACTATATACCCAACTCCAGAGCTACAGATAATTTTAGATATTTAACATTTGTGGCACTCATGTATTTAAAAGCTCTGCCATTACTGCCTTTAAACAGCCTAAGTCCGTAAAAGCTTCTTAAACAGAATAAATCTAGAAAACAATTTTATCTTTTCTGTATGTGATTTTAGCCTAAGCATGAATAAATACTCACTAAAGTTTTTTTAATTGTATTGTTAAAATATTATTACAATATTTGTTCATTATAGTAATATTGAAAAGATACAGAAAAGAAGAATGTAAAATTGCAATCATCAATATCCAGAGGCAGCTATAATTAACATTTTGGTGTGTCTCCTTTTAGTATTTTTTAAGATATGATAACTGTTTTGGTGTATATGGCTTAACTTTAAGACAAACAACACCCCCCGCCCCCCGTTTTTTTCCTCCTTATCCTTTCCATTTGCCCCCCTCTCCAAAATCTTCAGACCAGCATCCTCAGGTATGCCTGCAGGAGAGAGAGAGAAGGATAGGTAGGTCTTCAGAACCAGCCTTAGCCTAACTTTATCTGTTGTTCCTTAGAATATAAGAGAAAATAGGAGAAAGATACGACTGGGCATATCTAGATGAGGCCAAATTTGCCTACTTTTTTTTTTTTTAATCATGTTGGGGCAGAAAGAGCAAGAATTAGTAGGTAAAAACTGTAAGTCCAGTAACTTTATTTGCAAGTTTACTGTGGTCCCCTGAATGTCCTTTGCTCTGTCCAGTTGAATTAACAATTACTCCTCCTTTGGATTAGGGGAAGGGAACAGCTAAAGAGTGCAGAAGCAGAAAGGTGGGGTGAAGTTTAAGGGGGTGGGTGGAAAAAGTAGAGATACTGGTTTCCTAACACTAGGTAAAAAAAAAAAAATTTTTTTTTGAAGATGGAGTCTCACTCTGTCACCTAGGCTGGAGTGAAGTGGTGTGATCTTGGCTCACTGCAACCTCCACCTTTACAGGTTCAAGCGATTCTCCTACCTCAGCCTCCTGAGTAGCTGGGACTACAGGTGGGCACCACCATGCCCGACTTATTTTTGTATTTTTAGTAGAGACGGGATTTCACCATATTGGCCAGGCTGGTCTCAAACTCCTGACCTCAGGTGATCTGCCCGCCTTGGTCTCTCAAAATGCTGGGATTACAGGCATGAGCCACCATGCCCAGCACTAGGTAAAATTATAAGTGCCACTTATAAGTGAAGAAATGAGTGTTAGAGAATTTAAATCACTTGCTGAAAGTTACATAGCTTTTGTGAATATTATAGTCTATCACATGAATTCAAGTCTTTCTGACCCTAAGGCCCATGCTATTACCATCCTTTCTAAAAAGACTGAGTAAGCCTGGGCTGTATGGTGAAACCCTGTCTCTACAAAAATTACAAAAATTAGCTGGGCACAGTGGCATGTGCCTATGGTCCCAGCTACTTGGGAGGCTGAGGTGGAAGGATGGCTTGAGTTCAGGGAGGGCTACAGTGAGCCAAGATCATGCCACTGCACTCCAGCCTGGGCGATAGAGCCAGACCTTATCTCAATCAATCAATCAGTCAATCAGTCAATAACTGTATGATATACCATTGAGTGGATGTGACAACATACTTTATCAGTATTCTCTTTTATATATTTAGATTTTGAGTGATTTGTAAATATTTGTACACAGATTTATTTTTAGTTTAGAATTATTTAGAATAGAATCTCAGAAGTGGAATTGCTTATTTAAGTAATATGAACATTTTAAGGCCCTTATATGTTTTCATACTGATTTTCTTTCTTCGTCTTTTTTTTTTTTCTGTTTTTTTTTTTTGTTTGTTTTTGAGACAGGGTCTCACTTTGTCTCTCAGGCTGGAGTGCGGTGGTGCAAACGCAGCTCACTGCAGCCTCAACCTTCCCTGCTCATGTGATCCTCCTGCCTCAGCCCCCCAAGTAGCTGGGACTACGGGCGTGTGCCGTCACCCTCAACTAATTTTTTTTGTATGTTTTGTAGAGACTGGGTTTCATCGTGTTGCCCAGGCTAGTCTCGAACTCTTGAGCTCAAGCAATCCACCTGCCTTGACCTCCCAAAGTACTGGGATTATAGGCATGAGCCACCACGCCCAGCCAGACTAGTTTTCAAAAGGAACATGACAATTACATTTTTTGGTCCATCTTATTTAGTAGACAAAAAAAATTTGCATTCCTTTGCTTGCTACTGAGATTGAACATATATTTAACCAGGTGTAGTGTGTTGTTTGTGTCTGTGTGTGTGTATGATCACAATTATTGCTGGAAATACCCTTAAGAGGCCAATGTATATGGAGTTGTGTTAGGAAATAATTACGAATTAAAAAAAGAAATATTCATATATTTAACTTGTTTTGATTTAAAATGCCATATTCTTCTCTAGCTTTCATTCTCTCTTCATTCCTTCCCTTCACAGCCAAACATTGAAAGGCTGTTTATTCCGGCTGTTATCGCTTCATCACCACTCGTTTTACTACTCAGAACATTGTAATATGGCTTCCTACCTCATCTCTCTGGACTTGTTCTTGCCACAGCTACTAAATGACCTTCTGACCAGCAAATCCATTTGTCGCTTTTGGCTCTAGAAATAATGTTATTTTGATTTTTCTTTAAATAAGATTTTTTACCAGCTTAGACAACAAAGTAAGACCCTGTCTACAAAAAAAAAAAAAAAAAAAAAAGTTTTTTTTTGAGACAGAGTCTCGCTCTGTCGTCCAGGCTGCAGTGCAGTGGCATAATCTTGGCTCACTGAAACCTCTGCCTCCCGGAACAAGTGATCCTCCTGCCTCAGCTTCGTGAGTAGCTGGGATTACAGGCGTGTGCCACCACACCCACCTATTTTTTTTGTATTTTCAGTACAGTCGGGGTTTCATCATGTTGACCAGGCTGGTCTCGAACTTCTGACCTTAGATGATTCACCTGCCTCGGCCTCCCAGAGTGCTGGGATTACAGGCGTGAGCCACATGCCTGACCTACAAAAATTTTTTAAAAATTAATGGGTATGGTGTCGCATGCCTGTAGCCTGAGCTACTTGGGAGGCTGAGGTGGGAAGATTGCTTGAGCAGGGAAGGTTGGTGCTGCAGTGAGCTGTGATCATGCCACTGTACTCCAGCCTGGGCAACAGAGCGAGACCCTGTCTCAAAAAAAAAAAAAAAAACTAAAGTTTTAAATTGGCATCAATGTCTTCAATACAATTTTGAAGAAAAAATTACTTATTTTGTTAAATGATTGATCATATGCCACTACCTCAAAAAACATCATTTCTTTCCATAATTGTTGAAACCTAAATAACCATTCTACTTTTTGAGCCAATTACCCTTACTAGTTTCTTTAAGGATTAAAAATTATTTTCAGCAATTTTTTTTCTTTCACTTCTAACTGTACTATTCTTAAGGTTTATTTACTGAAAAAAAAAATATATATATATTAGTTAAGAAGCATATTGGCCTTTTAAAAATGTCTTTCATAATCCAAATCATTATAGAACCTGGCCATGTTCTGGAATGGTTAGCTTCCTAGATTTAAGCATGATAGTGGTTACAAGTTACAACTACAGGACTTACCTGTACTTAAAAATGAACATTCTTACCCTAATCCCCTTTGTATCAGAGCCTTTGCTGTTGCCATGTTAGAAGAGAGAGAGTTAATGGATGCATTTTCCCAGGGATTCCAGCTGAAATCTGGAGTGCATTCATAAGTATTTTATAAAGAATGTATATTTTAACCATTTAGTGGATTGTGTTGTTGGAACATAATTTTTTTTTTTTTTTTTTGACAGAGTCTCGTTCAGCCACCCAGGCTGGAGTGCAGGGGTATAGTCTTGGCTCACTGCAACCACTATCTCCCGGATTCAAGTGATTCTCCCATCTCAGCCTCCTGAGTAGCTGGGATCATAGGCAACCACCATCATGCCCGGCTAATTTTTGTATTTTCATAGAGATGGGGTTTCACCATGTTGGCCAGGCTGGTCTTGAACTCCTGACCTCAGGTGATCCTCCTGCCTCGGCCCACCAAAGTGCTGGGATTACAGGCATGAGCCACTGCACCCGGCTGGAACATAATTTAGGCCCCATATAATGTTTCTATTAGAAACTATGTTGTAGGTTCCAAACATCCAATTTATAAGCAAATCTTTGAAAAAAAATCTTCTTAAAAGTGACAAGATGTTCATCTGTATTTTCTGCTATAAATTGTGTCCTTGAATTTGCCCCTTTAGGACTATATTAATTGAAATTTAATTTAATTTAGGCAACCCTAAAGATGTTATTGGATCATTTGAAATTGGTGGCTTCCTATCATGAAGTGAATAAGATGACATGCCAGAATTTGGCTGTGTGCTTTGGACCAGTGTTATTAAGTCAGAAGCAAGAGCCTTCATCACATAACAACAGAGTCTTCACTGATTCAGAAGAACTTGCAAGTGCTTTGGATTTTAAAAAACACATTGAAGTTCTTCATTACTTACTCCAACTCTGGCCAGGTAAATGATTCTATGGAAATATTTTTCACTTTCAATGATAGGGCATTTGAATTAACTAATCATTAAATATGCTCATATATGATTGAAGAAACTCTTCTAGATTTTGCTTTTTCAAAATGTGATTTGATACCTGCCCTTTAGATTTTTTTTCATTTAAATATTTTCTGCCTTTGCTGATGACATCGTAGGCATGTAGATTAATGTGCACATTTTAGATTTGGTAGATCTAGATTTAAATCCTGGTTGTACCACTTATTAGCAATCTGACCTTGGGCTGGTTTCGTAACATCTCAGAGCCTTGTATCATCTTTTGTCATATGGATTTAATAATATGTTTATAGATTTTATATTAGGATTTTAAAAAATTGTATATGTAAAGTGCTCAGCATAGCTCTTGACACATAATAGAGACTCAATAAACACTAATTTATTTACTTTTCTCATTTTTAGTTCAACTGGTATAAAGCAGAATTCATTTTTCTCCTTAAATCAGTTCTTCTTTACGTCTTTAACTGCATTCATGGTCATTAGTCAAATTATCTCAGCTTGAATTGGGAATTATCTTTGACCTTTCCATCTTATCCAATCCTTATTCCAATCAATAACTAAAGACTGACAGTTGTTTTCCTAATTATCTCTGATATAGTTTCAGAGCTAAAAGAAATACGTATTTAATTAGACATTCTGTAAAGGACCCTGCATTTAAATTCCAAAATTTTCTTAGCTTTTAGTAACCCCTGCTACTCTCGCCCCACACTGCATGGGACCAAGTGTGAAGTACTTTGGTGCTTCGTGTAGAGCACACTAGTAACCATGCCTGGCCCTGGGGTCAGGCTTGGGTTCAGATCTGGATGGTGACACTTGCTGGCAGGGTGGGCTATGGCAAAAACTTTAACCTCTTCAACTCCCATTTTGCTTCTCTCTAAATAATGCCTGTCTCAGGGTTGTTGTAAAGATTGAGATAAAGCATCTAAGGCAATGAGCAAAATGTTTAGCACAAAGTGAGCACTCAGTCAATGTCTTCGGTTACTCTTGTTGTATTTATATAGACAGAAAGATTAAAGTACAAGGGAATGCTTGAGTTCATCAGTTAAAGTGAATTAAAAATTAAGTTAATAAAAATTTTCCAGCATTTTGGGAGGCTGAGGCAGGTGGATCACAAGATCAGGAGTTTGAGACCAGCCTGGCCAACATAGTGAAACCCTGCCTCCACTAAAAATACAAAAAAATTAGCGGGGCATGGTGGCGGGCACCTGTAGTCCCAGCTACTTGGGAGGCTGAGGCAAGAGAATCGCTTGAACCCGGGAGGCAGAGGTTGCGGTGAGCCGAGATCGCAACACTGCACTCTAGCCTGGATGACAGACAGAGTGAGACTCCGTCTCAAAAAAAAAAAAAAAAAAAATCAATGTTAAAATTTGGAAAGTTAAAGCTTTTACTTTCTTTTAAATGCAGGCTTAAAAATTATTCTAATTTATGTTTTAACTGAATTAGAATGTTATTTTAACTATTTTAAAACCCTGAATCAAGATTATCTGGGTAATTGAACTGATTTCAGCATTTGATGCCTAATGTAAGGGATCTTTCAGAGTGTCAACTGTGTCTCCTTTTTCTAGAACAGCTTTAATTCTAATAAACACCAAGAATTTGGGAGAAAGCCATCTTGTCATTACCACAAATGAAAACTTGCTTTCCTGGAGATACCATTAAGTTTACTGTCAGTGTCTGAGTTCATTATTATTAATTATTAATTATTCTGTGCTAGAGGTTAAGGTCATTATATTATTTTATAATAGTAGCCACCTTAGTTTTGGGTTTGGGAGAAAAAACTTAATGTATATCTTGTGTTATAGAAAAAGCAGGTTCGGATTTCAAATTCACTGTATTCTAAAGACAACCTTAAACAGCTGTTCCTAGTGTACAGCACCTTATTCCAAAGATTTGTGTTGTTGGTTTTAAAGATAACTGCTCCTTTTTCTATAACCTGTTATTTTTCTTTAGTTGTAGTTCCTCAGACAAAGAGCAGGGCAGAAAGATGAGAAGAAACAAAAGTTTTACCCTGTCAATCACCTGCTGTTGAATTCAAGAAAAGGCAGAAATCAAGTAGATGAGGTGCACTTACTGGGCCTGAGAAAGTTGATGGTGACATAGAGAATGTGGCAAAGACTAGTAGGCGATAGCATATTAACTCAGCGAATGTCTATCCTATCTCCATGCATTCAATAGAAGGTTTTAGCTTTCCTTGCTATGCATATCTTATTTTTCCATTTGGAAATTCTCCAACTCCAGAGTTAAAAAGAGTTACCCCCTTCCTATTTATTTTCTAAACTTTTTGTTTTGTTTCATGTTATTTTTTGTTTATTAATTTTGGGCAAGAAGATAATTTGCTTTGAGATTTATATTTGAAAAGTCCTATCTTCAAAGTAGTTAGTTAGAACTCTAGCATATCAGCATTAGAAGGTAAAAATCATCCTGCCAATAGTCTTTTAGATTGTCTTCTACTGAACCCTCAGGTTCTCTGGAAGCAGCTTAGAAGCCAGATCAGCAAGGGGTGGGGGAACAAAATGGAAACACACTTGCCCGTTGACCAGAACAGCCTTTTTTTAATCTGTTTTATTATTGAGTTTTCACTAAAATATTTATTTTAGATATTCATTTTCTGTTTTAAGAATACTGAAAATTACTGCTGGTCCCCCTATCACTTTAAAGATGGAGAAATCAATTTAGAGTATAATTCCTAGATCCTTGCTATACCACATTTTCTTTCCTTTGTGGTTTTTTTTTTTTTTGCGGTGGGGGGGTGGTGGAGTCTCACTCTGTCGCCCAGGTTGGAGTGCACTGGCGCAATCTTGACTCACTGCAACCTCTGCCTCTTAGGTTCAAGCAGTTCTCCTACCTTAGCCTCCTGAGTGGCTGGGATTACAGGCATGTACCACTGCGCCCGGCTAATTTTTGTATTTTTGGTAGAGATGGGGTTTCACCATATTGGCCAGGCTGATCTCAAACTCCTGACTTCAAGTGATCTGCCTGCCTCGGCCTCCCAAAGTGCTGGGATTACAGGCATGAGCCACAACACCTGGCCGCTATACCACATTTTCTATGACAAATATATTTGGGGCAAGTTTTTTGGAAAAGGTATCAATTTTTCTCTTATTTCTTTTTATTTCATCTTTCTTACTAGATTGTAAGTTTGGTGAGGTCGAGGATTATTTTTAACTTTATATTCCCAGGTCCTAGCAGAGTATTTGGCACTAACTAGACAGTCAGTATATTTTTGTTAAATAAGGTAATTATAGATAAAAGTATAATAAAGTAGTAATTAGAAACAAATCTACTGGTAGAAAACAAGATAAGGAAAAATTAAGTTTCTTAGTACTTATTATATTTTGAATTCTTTTTCAGCAACCTTATAGAATGCATTTTTAATTTTATTCTCTTGAAGGTGGGTAGTCAACAGTGATGGGAAAACCAGAACTTTTGAGGTTAAAATTAGCCATTTTCACCATATATTTAGTTGTAAACCACTCCGACATCAGTAGTCTAAAAAGTCAGTGATGTTGGTTTTTCAGAAATTGAAATTTTTAGTCTAAAAGATATAAAATATCAGTTTAATTGGTTTCTTAATGTTTTCCAAGATAATATACAGAAATAATGTTTCAATATGGTCTTAGGTAAGTAACTGTAAGCAACTGGCAACAAAATGAATCTGGATTTTGTAGGCAAATGTCTGAAAATGCAGGCAAAATAGGACAAGTTTAAGACATAAAGCAAAAATACATGGTTAGATCAGACCAGATAACCTCAAGGCTAGCAGAATATTGTAATTGGTTGGTGAAAACAACAGGCATGACAGTTAAGCACTAAAAAGAACAGGAATAGCACAAAGAATGAGGGGGAAAAACTAAGGAGATAGTGGTGATAAGTAGCTAGAGGAGGAAAAATATGAATAATTACACAGTGGAAAATTCAGATATCCATTCTGCACTTATATCAGTTGATGGTATGGACCATTCTATATTAATACTAACATTAAAGATCAATTTAAAGTAAATAACCTTTGTTTTCTAGAAAATGTTAGATCAAGAAATTTTAGCTATCTATAGTGATACATAATAACCATCTTAAAAATGCAGTAGAAATGTTAAAAACATACCTATGTACAGTTATCAAATATTTCAATAAAATCTAAATTTAAAAAAGTATGGGATCTCTGAAAAATGTTATGAATATCACTTTAAGTGTGGAAAACTAGAACCATATATATGCTTTTATAGTTTTTTAGTTGTTTTATTTTATACAACAGCAAACAAGCATTCATTATATGTTGGAGAGTATAAAGTTGGTGTGTTATCACTGATTTATGTTGCTTTGTCTTAGTGAAAGGAAATAGAGATGAAGGGGCACTTATTAATGGAGAATAAACAAGCAGAAAGAGAAAGATATTATAGGTAGTCTTTAATAGCTATGTGTCAGCATTTTAAATTGTCTATTTTATATACAGAATAACCTTAGATAAATATTTTGTTCAACACACAAGAGTAAACCTTAGTTTGTAATGAAGTAATGTGTGTCTCTATGGTAATCGTCTATATGGCTAGCACAATGCATACTCTCAGAAGAAACTAGTCTTAATATGGAAAATGTTATTTGGGATTGTTAAATACCTAATCAGAATGAGAAAATAAAATATCTGTACTATTTCCAGGCAATAAATGAAGATAGTAGATAATGCTGTATAATCAAACTCAGGTAACAAGTGGTCAAATCTAGTATTTGCACATTTTATCAAAGTGAAATTTGGTCTGCTTAGTAAACTATGACTCTGCTGCTAATAGAATTGCAGAAAAGCCCACAAGGGTCAGAACTTACTAGGCTGATCACTTTAGATGCCTTTGCCTCATTTAGATGTTTGCAGATAAAGGAACTTCTTGTTATATTTTGTTTGTACACCAACATGCCTTGCCTGCTTTTTGCTGTAGCTTTTAATTTAGGAGAAGCTAGCAGCTTAGCTATTGTTTGAATTATAGCTAGATAATAATAAACTTGCACAGAAAATTAATTGACATTGGAAATGTGATTTGTTTGGGGACGTTATGATGTAGCATGAATTAGCACCATGGAACGTTATACTGCTTCTATCCTTAATCTAGATTATGTCTGGTAATACAAAAATAATTATGGAATGCTTTCTTTTGATAGAGTGCATGTTTGTGTTTCAATGCATGTTTGTAGTTGTTGATTAAATGGCTTATCTTTAACTCTGTTTTTTTTTAAGTTCAGTTGGATTACTGTCACTAAAGCAAAATTGTTGTTTGTTTCTAGTGCAGCGTTTAACTGTCAAAAAATCAACAGACAGTTTATTCCCAGAGCAGAAGTCTTCTCTGAATTATTTGAGGCAGAAGAAAGAACGACCTCATATGTTAAATTTGAGTGGTACTGATTCATCAGGAGTACTTAGGCCAAGGCAAAACCGATTAGACAGTCCACTTAGCAATCGTTATGCGGGAGACTGGAGCAGCTGTGGGGAAAACTACTTTTTAAATACAAAAGAAAATTTAAATGATGTGGATTATGATGATGTCCCTTCAGAAGATAGAGAAATTGGAGAAAATTATAGCAAAATGGATGGGCCAGAAGTAATGATTGAACAGCCAATTCCCATGTCCAAAGAGTGTACATTTCAGACATATTTGACAATGCAGACAATTGAGTCTACAGTGGATCGAAAAAACAATCTCAAAGATCTACAAGAAAGTATTGATACTTTGATTGGAAATCTGGAACGTGAACTCAACAAAAACAAGCTTAATATGAGTTTTTGAGATTGAGAGTTTTTCTGGTTTTTTTTTTTTTGTAATGTCTTAAAGTTTCAAATCTGTTTTTCTTTGCTTTCTTTTCTTATACCACCCACAGTGATGTTTTCATTTTATTACTCTTGAAATCTTTAATTTCTAATAAGTTTATCTGATTCAATTAAAAACACTATTCATTAATATAATTTTTACTTATCTCCCTAGAAAACTTTTCTGGGGATCAATAAAACTTGGACATCTTGGGCTATTTTACTAAATCTTGCCAAGTCTATGGAGATAACTTTCAAATGCACTTAAGAAGGTTCACATAAGTTATTATCCCCTCAAGGTTTTTCTGCTTTATGGGAACCACTCTTCTGTAGCTGAGACAGATGTTCTTTTTTTGTTGTTTTTTGAGACGGAGTCTCACTCTGTTACCCAGGATGGAGTGCACTCGTGCGATCTCAGCTCACTGCAACCTCCACCTCCCCAGTTCAAGTGATTCTCCTGCCACAGCCTCTCGAGTAGCTGTGATGACAGGCGCCCACCACCATGCCCAGCTAATTATTGTATTTTTAGTAAAGACGGGGTTTCACCATGTTGGCCAGGCTAGTCTCAAACTCCTGACCTCAGGTGATCTGCCCACCTTGGCCTCCCAAAGTGCTGGGATTACAGGCGTGAACCACCACGCCCGGCCTTTAGATGTTCTTTTAGAGGAACATCACAGCTGTTGTCTGATTTGCAGTACGGGTCCTGGTACACTGCAACATCCTTTGGTCACATTTGTAATGCAAATGCTGCTATAAGAAAATCTTTTTATAAATAAAAGTGAAATTATACAAGTATTAATGTATTCTGTATTAACAGTAATTTAAGCTTATAAAAATTAAATATTTTTATAATCCTGAAACTATGTATATATTTATAAATGCATATATGTATAGATATCAGGATGGGGGAGGGATTACTGTAGAATCGCATGTATTTTTAAAGTATATATGTCATGAGACCAAAATTATTATCTTAAAATATTTTTTTCAGGGAGAGAACATTTGAATTAAAGGAGGAATTACATAAAAACACCTGAACAAAAATATTCTAGAAGCATCTGAATAGAAATAATAGACTTTCTTTTCTTTATTCACAGAAAGTCATGATGTCCCCTGTGAAAAGTCATCTTTTAAATTTGAAATCCTCTAACTCCTTAAGGGATTAAGTGCCCAGATTTCTGCACTGGTGACTTAGATTTAATAAATCTGCTCCTGTTCTATGCATTTTTATATTCCGCTTTGTTTTAATTATTTATTTGTAGTAGTACATTTATAACATTGACTTTATAATTACCCCATTTGTTTCTAAATAAATTGTCTTGCTAGCGTATTACATGTTTTTGATTTTTAAAAATTAACTTATTTTGGCTAAGTATATATACAGTGTTATAGCAATCACAGTAATGTTTGAAAATGTAAATTTAGAAGGCTTTTGTATTAAATCAAAATGTATTTTTTTAAACTTTTATATCTACAAAATATGTAATTTTAAAATTATAATTAGACTTTAAGTTACCAACTTTTAAGATATGCCAGTCATTGAAAAACTGACTTCCTGATGTTTTTCTGAATATTAAAGTACTTAAACTGTTTCTATGCAATAAAAATTGATAAACAATCTTATTTAATTTGAAAACCCATTGTTAAAAAATAAATATTTTTATATGAAATTTTCATTTTTTAAAACTTTGTGTTAACAATTCAGAAGAGAATACCAAGAGAACATATATGCTGAGTAAACAGTCAAAGGAAAGTACTCTTGAATATTTAATAGGAAAGCTGTCTCAGTTTCCTTCCTTTTGTTGCTATATCATGTATGAATTGAATAAATTGTTCCAGAAATGTAAAAATTTTATTAAAATATTATAATCTTCGTGTTATGCTATTAATTATAATGGTTTTAAGGATCACTTATGTTAATATTCCTTTTAAACAAAGGTGTTAAAGTTTTGGACCATCATGTATTATCTATCAATATATGTAATAACATTTATTTGTCCAAAATTTTCCAGAATCTGAAATACTTTAAGGGCCATGCTCGTATTACTGTATTACTATATTATTTTGGGTGAGAATAGTTTTAAAGTTGATCTCTGCAATCTTAGAGAATTCTAATCAGTTTTTTGTTGTCTAATCACCGAGTTATAGCTATAAACTGCTTTTATGACTCTGCTGTCCCAGAAGTGTTGTATAAGTTTAGATGTCTTTACTTTAAATGACATTTTACTTCAAATATTTTTTGAGAGTTTTTATACCTGCTTTTTATTATTTCCTAGGATCTTTCTGTAGTGTCAAATGTTGTTCCTTTCTGAGCCTGCGAGCTTTAATTTTTCTTTTCTTTTTCTTTCTTGTTCTTCTTCTTCTTTTTTTTTTTTAAATAGAGACAAGGCCTCTGTATATTGCCCAGGCTGGTCTCAAATTCCTGGGCTCAAGTGATCCACCCACCTCAGCCTCCCAAAGTGCAAGGATTACAGGTGTGAGCCACTATGCCCAGCTTCTAATGTTTTTTAGGATTAAAAACAATTTTAATTTTAGAGCATGTACCTGAATAAAAATTCTAAACAATTCAGATGGATAGAATAGTACAAGTGTTTCTGCCTGCCATCCACACCAATTTCACCTCTTAGAGGTAACAGCACGTTTCTTGCTGCTATTTCTTATAATTTAAGCCAAATTTGTTGTTTTATGAATGATAAGCAATTTATCTCACTTCATTCCTTCTCACCATTTTTGGTTTTAGTTCTTCATTAGTTCTCCTTTATAACTTCAGTTAATAATTTTTTTGAACCATTGATTTTAAATATATTTCCCTAACATTGAGGAAATGACCAACCTTGTACTTCCCTTCCAACTCATTACTGTCCTTTACTGCCTAACTTCTATTAAGTTATACTATTAGTTTATATAATAAGTTTTAATAGATGTATAATGTTTTCCCTTTATATTGTATATTTATTTGTATATTGTATATACCGTATACTGTATATTTATTCTAAAAACTGCAAATCAGTAACTAGCAGTCACACTATGCAAGAGTATGCACAGGTAAACCAGGTGATTTATCTCCTTCTATGTATCTATCTTATATCCTTAAGTCTGTGCTGATTTAAGCAGAATGTTTTCACACATAAAGGCCAAATGGATTCTTTCATAGCAAGCCGTCAACTTCCCCAAATCATGCCATGTGTCATTTGCTACATAATTGGGTCATGGCTTCTGCAGATTTTAATGGTTCCTGGAGTACGTAATTGCTTTTCTTTCTTTCTTTCTTTCTTTTTTTTTTCTTTAAATCTTCAAATAGAGATGGGGTATTGTTATGTTGCCAGGACTGGTCTCAAACATGTAGGCTCAAGCGATCCTTTCCGCCTCGGCCTCCCAAAGTGCTGGGATTACAGTGTGAGCCACTGCATCCAGCCTGATTTTATTTCTTGACAGAAGAAAAATGCTTGCTTTACTGTAGCTTCTTTTAATCAACTATTGAATTACCAAATTTGTTCAGAGTGCTTTTAGCTCTCATCATGAGATTCCAGAACTATATTCTCGTCTTTATTTATTTTTCTTTGACAGAATTGACAGGAAGAAAAAAAACATGTTCTTCACTCTAACCCCAAGATCATTTTATGCTGCTTAATCAGCTTCATCAAATTTGGACAAAGTGATTTTTAGCTGTCATCTCGGGATGTATTTCCTTTGTACTCCTTTTTTTGTTGTTGTTTTGCCGCACTCTTTCTTGAATTTGTCTTTTCTGTTTGCTAAAGTATATTTACAGGTGCCTTTTTTTCCCCTAGAAAGGATGGATGGGAGATAAACTAGGAGTCCTTGTGTGTCTGACAAGGCCTTTATTTTTTCCTCACACTTTATTTTTATTGGGCCTGCAGCTCTAGGTTCAAACTCATTTTTCTTGAGAATTTTGAGGGCATTTCACTATTACCTTCAAGCATCCAGTTTTGCAGTAATCCGGGCTAGAAAGATTCAGACCAGGATAGAAACAATAGAGATGGTGAGATATGGTTGGATTCTGAATATATTTTGAAGCAAGAGCTAAAGGAATCTGCCAGTGGACTATGAAAGGAGTAGGGCCTGAGCAGCTGAATGATGGAGCTCCTTCAAATGAGATTGAAATGACTCCATGTTTTTTCAGTGAGTTCCTTCTATTGGATGTTGGTATTGTTAATACAGTAGTTATTAAAATGTCTTATAATGTCCTGTTAACGATTAGTACTAATGCTTCTGTACTTGGTGATGGTGCTCATAGAGTTACTACTAGAATAAGAAGGCCAGAAGACTTCGTATTTATCTAAGTAAAGTCCCACATAATAACTGTCTAGAAAATTCCAGATTATGTAGCTTTATATGTTAGGGGGTCCCTGAAAAGAATTTAGTTTCCAGACCACAGATTGACTTTGATGGTTAGGATTTTATAAATACATCAATTTTTAGGTACTTTGGCATGATAAAGTTGTATTATGATTAATAATAGCAAGTCTTGATTCGAGGCTTACTCACCTGAGGACTTAGGTACAAAAATGCTCTTTTGCTCTTTTTCCTGACCAATTTTCATTTTGAATGCAATAAGGGCCACATTTGATAAACACTGAAATGCCACAAGTCACATTTCTTGATTGCATTCTGCCTCAGCTAGAAATGGACTTGTTAACTCAGGCAGAAATTGAATTATTGAGAAAATAGTGTATCAGAAGGAAGACTTTTGGGTGCTGAAAGTCTTTTATATTTTCGTCCAGGTGGTGGTTTCATAGGTGTTTACATATCAGGTTGCATCCTTAAGATTTGTGCCCTTTATATGTCATCCCTCTTTTTTTTTAATGGGAAAGCTTGAGAAATAGACTTGGAAAATAAACAGAAACTAAGAGGGGCTAGGTCGTCAGAATGACAGCAATCAAGGCTGTGCCTGGTTACGACGCCGCTGTTGCTGTCACTGTCACTAAGCAGCCCCATGTTCTCCCCACTGGAGTGAGTTAGAAAACATCCTCACTCTGCATTATTCCTGACTGAGAGTTCCGGACAGAAGCATGAGTTTGTACTCCAGCTTCCAGGAGGCAGAGAGGAATTAGCTTGCATCCTTTCTTAGAACTTACATAGTAAGTAGATTCTATGACTGCAGAAGGAGATTTGGATGCTGAGCTGGCAAAACAGTGACACACACAACACTTCCATCTGAACCCTGTGGCTCCAAAATTGGAGTCTGTCTTACCCCGTCCCCCCAGTATATCCCAGCCATCAACAGGTCTGAGTGTTGTGTGTCTGAAACTGTATTGGAGTTTGTCACTGCTAACACACTAGTCCAAGCCACCATCATCCCTCAATCTCCTAGTTCCTCTCTGCTATCACTCTCCCCTCTCCACACCCACGATCCAGTCTCTTCATGGAAGCTAATGTGAAAAAGATAAACTGCATCATTTCCTAGGCCTTCTCCCTTGTTGCCCAGCTCTAGCAACACTGGGGACCCTCATTCCTGTCTGAGGCTCTCTGCTCTTGCCATTGACCCTGTCTGGAAAGCTCTTTATCCAGATGTTAGTTAGGTAGCTCCTTTTTGTCATTCGCTTCTCTGCTCAAATGTCACTTCAAAGAGCCTGCTTCTGAACAGCCTACTCTGAGAATAAGGGGAAGAAGCAGATGGAGAGTTCTATTTCTTGTAACAAATGCTATTAATAAACACTTATGGTACTATCTGACTAAACTGCAGATATTTATCACTTTGGTAAATGTTTACATTTAAACCAAATTTAAGAAAAATATTTGAAGAACTACACCCACATCCATTGTCACTTTTTGTCGTATCACCTGGGCTTATTTTCATCAAGGCTTTATCATTATCTGAAATTATCTCATTTATTTGTTTGTTCATTTATTGTCTATGTCCACTCTTCTAGAATGTAATCTCCATGGCAGTAGGGACTTTGTATATCTCGTTCATTGCCATATGCCTAGGGACTATAACATAGAAGCTGTTCAATTAATTGTTAATCAGCGAATGACTGTAACAAGACTTGAGAATGGTTGTCTTTTTGTTAGGAAAAGACTAAGTATTATAATCACAATGT